ATATATATGTATGTATGGATGTGAACGCAGAGACGTGTTTACAGGCAAATATGTGGATTTCAATCCATGACAAATCCAAGAACAATACCGTTGGAAATCTTTGCTGTAAAATCATAAATTTTTTAAAACAGAACTATGTTCCGTCATTAATTTATTAATACTGTATTGAATTAGAAGCGTCTACGTCAACAAATGAACACAGTGAACATTTATGAACTTTTGTATTGTTCTATGAACATTTTACCTTTTATTGTTTTGCAAACTTTTATTATAAACTGTCGTATTCAACTAGATACTAACTATTAGAAAGTTTGTTATTTTTGCTCTGATAACGTCATTTTGTTGGCATACAATACTGAGCTCTAAATTATCAAAAATTGTTTTTAATTCAAGCCCTAGGGAATTCACGAGCTGAGGATTCAAAGAGCTAAAAGGTATGAAACTATTCCATTACTTGAAATATACTATACATACATATATAAATAGTAGTTTTCACACAAGATTATCAAGAAATTATTTATTTTTTTTTTATGATTTTGGTGAGTATAGTTTATCCCGAACACAAGTATTTTAATGGCTTAAGCCCGTCCCTGAAGATCGTGAATACATCGAAAAGCTGCTCGATGCTCTTCAGTAACCTCAGACGATTACAGAGCGAAAGTGGACGTTCTCAACTTCTCTTACGGATCGACTTATCGTATTTCGGTAAATGGTTTGCATGTCATTGCTAGACTTATATGGTAGGAAAATCTTTTGCAAAAACGATGTCGAGTAGAGGTCTCGAAAGAGATGCTTGTCTGCATAGTTGAGGACCCTACTTTCATCAAACGCATTATTATTAGTAACGAGAAGTCTTCAAATCTTGACCGGAAACTCTTCATTCCAAGAATTTGTGTGGAAAAAAGTCATTGATTTTCACCACAAAAACGCTTCGTTAATTTTGATAGCTCTTCGTGTGAGTTTTGTCCTGCTGCACATATAACCTCGAGACATCTCAGCCAAAGGGGTTACCGCGAGATGTCAAACATGACTGAAGTCCTCACTCTGCATCAACTTAATGAATAACAATAACGCTTGATTGACTAGGTACTAAATATATTACAGCAATAAAAATTTGTATCACTTAACTGGATCAGTGTGTGATGCTTTCGATATATTATTTATTAAGTGAGGATCTGTATCATTTAAATAGTCTACCTAGCTACATATGTATGTTATAATGGTCCAGAAATGAAAAGTTGGTAGCTGCGAGAATATTTAGTAAAATGTATTATTATATACATACACATGTGAGCCACTTAATCGAAGGTCGATAAAAGAGGTGACGCTTACTGTTAACTATCGGTTTTTATTATTAAACTCCATTATCTTGATATAAAACAACGTGCGGAAAAATTCCATCTTATTTTGGATAAAACAAACAACACATACATACATATGTAATTATTACTGTTTATTTGATACTCTTGTTGTTTATTTGATAAAGGGCATGTGCACATATGTACATACAAGTCTAGGAGTGGCAGTTTGTCGATAAYGAGATGATAACCCACCGCTAACCGGTATATCTATATTGCCCGCCAATGGATGTTAGATATTATAAATTCATGAGTGGATGATCGTGTTGGTTGTGCTTCAGCGCCTGTTCCTCAGTGCGTTCAAAAACARAAACATGCGTCTACGTAAGAAAGGACTAAGTTCGGGTGTAACAGAATATTGTATACTCTCACAATTTGCAATGATCGTAGGTAGGGAAACGCCTTAAGATGTAAAACGTCAACTAGAGGATCGGAATCTAAGCAATTTTATATATACATAAGTATACTAAGTATATAACTCATACAATGACCRACTAATTCGGCATAAGATTTCTAGGAAAACGAAAACCATTACATCTAGTATATGAGAGTCAGCATAGTATCGACCCAATAYTTTCTATTAACAATTATTATTATTATTATTACCTCATATACAATCATCAGTCTTATGGAGCAAAGTCAGGCGAATGTTAGAAAATCCTGGTAATAGTTATATGGGCGCTAGCATAAGTTTTYGCCTAATTATATCTACTTTAAGCACAAAGATGCACTGATATGGGTAATGTAATTTTCATTGAAAACTCATATATTGGCCGATGTATCCATCRTAAAGTCACCTTGTAGTTYGAAAATCTTTATATWAGGTATATGGTGGCTCAGGGAAGACAACCCAACTCAACCCATTTTTGATACACGGAATAACTCAAACGTCAAATATWGATACTGGGATCCACATATTCGGTACCTAGAGGCTTGAACAGTTTTGTTTGGATCTGGGCAATTAGTGTAAAATTGTATGCCGGTATATTATTTACTTCCTGATTTGTGAACTGGAAAGTAAAAGAATCAAATGTAATTTAATTTAGTGTTATATGGAAGGCAGGCGTGAAGTCCGTGTTAGATTTAGCCCAATTCTGTCGTTAGGTTACTCCACCAAAAAGTRGGCGATATCACGCCCATCGTCCAATTTTCATATCGCCTCCCGCAAAGCCCCGTCRTACCATCTCGGAGGCAAATTTAATATCTCTCGCGTAATTAGTTATTGATTTTTTTCACTTTTAGTAGTTTTGAACAGTACCGTTATATGTACAAGAATCTTGTATGAGGAGTGAGCGAGCTAATCTTCCAATTTCATCCGTTTTCACGTTGTCGGTAGGAGTTCTTATAATATTTKCGTTGAGCAAATTTGGTTCTTGTGGTTTTAGTAGATATGTACGTACATTAAACTTAAKAGAGGGCGATGCCACGCCTACTTTTCCAAAAATTTTAAACTCTCTGTTGCGAGATGTTGCAAGGGTATACAAATTTTAGAAATGTTTGAATGTTCCATGAAGTAAATATCTGCCAAAGCATTAAAGTTATACAAGTACACATTTGTACAYACATTTGGCTTGTGCTAATCATATACACATCGTTTTACTGCTATGCTTGTGAATGACTTTTACATTTGCTCTATTAGAAGATATTTCAGAACGTTGTGAAATAGCTCAATRGCCTTCAATAAACGTAAAGATTTTTCTTGGTAAGTATATTGATTTTGTTGTAACAGTAATCCACCTTATATATGTAAAGGGTGATSCATTTCGAGGCTTCCTACTTTTTTAAAGAAAAAACACAGAAACTTCAAACTTAATGAGAAAAAGTCTAACGCTGTGATATGACACGAATATCTGCTGGCCGAAGTGTTTTCTCAATAAATCCAAATTCTTCGCCGAATAGTCCTTTYCTTCACTGCGTGYTGGACGCGGTYTATTCGCTCGCATATTATCCWATAATCCACGCGCGAAACACATTCTTYACAGAACGTGAAATTTCGTAATAAAGTTTAACGATTTGTAAAAGTTGTTCATTCATAACATAAATCTTTCCATGATGAACTGCCTAACATTACTGTAAAAAAAAAATAACATGACGGCTTGACACGACTCACGCGTGATCTGTTAAAATARGGCTATTGAAAAAAGTACCTCTACTCGAWTCACCCGTTATAATGTAAATGAGTGCAGCGTTATCACTTTTTAMCTTTCCTGTTCTTTGTTCTGAGTTGTGTAGACTATGTCTGAGCACGTTATCGCCGAAATTATTACTATTTTGGCATAGCGCGGTCGATTTCCGAACCAGAACTTCATCGGCAACATGTCGAAATATGGTTTTCACAATATCTGGTTAGCAGCCATTTCGCAGGTTAGTTMTGGTAATCTCTATCGAAAAAAGTAGTATTTACTAGTTGTTAACCGGAAGATTAAACGGCAGCCGTCAGCCGTCAGCAATAAAATCTATAAGAAACGTCAGCTGCAAATTCATACATATTTATGTATGTATGTCCTTACGTCGTTCCGACACTTATTATCATTATATATGTATGTATTATTCATATTTGCAGTAAAAATTCCATTGAAACATGAATTTCAAAATTAAAAGAAATGCCGAATTGCGTGGCAGCGAGGCGCCCGAGAGCACAAGCAGCACAGTTACTTCGTCGTCCCTGGTTTACGAAAACCGGTTTGGGCGGCAAAAAGAGTCCTTGTCTGATTATGCACATAWGTATGTATGTATGTATGTACATAAATGGCTCGTGACGTTTACACAGTTTTGCGTGTCCACAATGCAAATAAAGGTGGAATCGGCGGGGTGGGTGAAAAGACTGGAACATCGATTGCGTAATATGGTGGCGGCGAAACGAAACTTCATGCAGATTGTGAGGATAGATTGTTAGTGAAGGACCGAGTGGTTGTGGTATTTGCATAGTCATTGGTAGTCCCAAAGCTGGTTTCACATCTTGTTGTAGTATACTATACATATGTATGTACTACATACATATTTATATGCTTTTACGTCCACCATGTGAAATATTTTTAACCAATTCAAAAAACAAAATGCATGTAAAGTTTATTATTTTGCTATAGGCCATATAAGTCAGTAAAGTTATTGTGGATTCAATTTACTTCTTGTAATCGTTATTTATTTAAAATGAATAAAAAATCACAGAATTGTTTATATCACGAGAGAATAAATATGTTGCCAAATTGTAAGGTTATATAGTCCTCAGCTGGTTTCCTGCTCACTCACATTATCGCAGTTTCTCTCTAGCCGACCACTGATATAAATCAATGTCTAAAAATTTACCTTTAGAGAGATATTAAGATCGATTGACTTCGGTGCGAACCATGGTCTCCACTGATCTATGCTCTCAAAGGAAGATGCAGATAACTTCTTAAAAGGCGCTTAATCCACACGACGATCGGYCTTCCTGATCAGCACTTCATATAAATGAAAACGCAATTCTTTACCACCAAACGGTATGTACAAACAGCCATGTGATGGATGTATTTTACCAACGGTTAAACTGTTGTAGTAAGCGCATCGACCTATGTATAATGGCTCACCATATCGTGTGGTTCCACCGAGTACAACGTTGCGTGGCATCGARCCACCGTAGGAAGTGACCCATTTATAGCCATCACCAACCAGCACTTCATATTGTTTTTTCTTGATTTCCTCACCGCGCCAGCAAACATAAGCGCAATCTTTGCTGGGTAGATTATCTTCTCTGTGCGATGAACGACCCACATAGATGGGAGTGCCATTACAGTCGTGTCCGCCAACAAAAGCTCCTGATGGCACCAGCTCATAATTAGAGGAATATGTCGAAGATTCTGAAAACATGTGGGACAAATAAATTTTATATAAGATATAGGTACTGGGATCCAAATACTCGGTACACAGAGATTTAAACAGTTTTTGTTGGATTTGAACAATTTTTGGTCATAAGGTGGTATACACTAAAGGCATTATTCGTGCAAAGTTTAATCTCGTTATTTTCTKATTTCTCTATTAAAGGAAAGCTACGTATGTCATGTTGTCGACATCTGTCCTCCTTATCGCGAGATATCAGATTTCACCAAAAATTGGGCGGCGCCACGCCCATCGTCCAATTTTACCCCGACTTCCACAAAGCCTTATCATACTATCCCGACGGCAAATTTACGTCTCTGGCGCATTTAGTTATTGATTTATCGCGCTTTTAGTAGTTGTGAACAGTACCGTTATATGAGGAGTG